CCCCCCCCCCCCCCTCTTTTTAGGTTATTTTGTTCTTATTATCTCATCCTTCTGCTTGACCTAAGACTTCACATACAGCTGTCCCCTCAAACATACTATCCTGAGTCAGATTTCGGGCATTCACATTCATTCTCCATGAAAAGGGATTTGAAACTCTTCAGACTTACTCAACATCAGTGAATGACTCCCAAAAGGGAGTTTCTAAGTAGTTAAGATCTTTTGCAGAATTAATAGAATGGGAGATTTTAATTTATTGGTAACCAGAAAATACCATTTTCTTTGATACTTACAGCCCTCAGCACACGCAGAACTATTAACACAGAGCATATGTAGCAATATATATAACTTTTATTGCTTTGAGTCTGCGTTGATTTCATTACTTAGAGTGGCAAAGACAACCAAGAGATGTGCTGTGAATGCCAAATCAGTGCTGGTAAAACCTTTCGCAGTGAACGTTTTAATGAATTTTGTTTTGAGCACATTTTAAAAAAGATGTTATTAAAGACTCTTTTTTCAAATTTTATTGTTTTGTTAATAGTCTTTTTAAAATTCCAGCAACTTTTTGCTCCAAATGGTTTTACATAGATTTTGAAGTGAGAAGAAACAGAATATATAATTAGAAGTTTTAGAAAGACACATTTAAGGTCATGCAGTCAGCTTTTAAACATCACTGCCTTATGTCTGAAGTTATCATCCCTTTGGCTGGAAAGAAGTGGGCATCGCCAGTGTCTCTGATTCAGAAGTGAATGTACCAAAAGTACTCTTCAGTCTTTTGGGAAAAGAAAGTGGATTTATTTTCAGTACTGGTTATTTGACAGCTGATAAGGAGTTTGCAGTATTTGATGTTCAAGTTGAATTAATGGGCAAATCACAGAAAGGGGTGAAAGGGCCAAAACAAGTGTGGTGCAGTTCGTAATTATTCTGCATTTTTATTCAGTCATTATAGAAGTAAATGAATTCGTTCTAGTGCTGTTAAGAACAGAATGTTAGATAAATAAATATTAATATTCACACACGAGCCTCCTGTTTTTCAGAAATGGAAAATCATCATGACATTAGCGATGTGAATATCCAGCATTCATTAAAAGAAATAAATGAAGAGCTTTATTCAGTGGAACATGAGGACACTGACTCAGCCACAGCACATTCAGGTTCCAAGTGTCTTCGTTCTCTCAAATCGAGTGTAACAAGCACAGATGCACTTGATGACTGCGAAGTCGTAGATGATACAGAAGAACTGAAACAAAGAATTAAGAGTATGCAGTCTGAACTTGAAAAGTACAAAATGTTCGTATTTCATTTACAGACCTCTGACCAGCTTTTATTGAGTGGTATTTCCAGTGCAGTGCTGAGTGATGCAGCTTTGCCTGGGGCAGGACGTTTTGTACAAGATACAGCTATGCAGGAAATCAAACCATTTCCTGGTTTACATCAGCTGAAGGATTGTGAGATTCACACCGAAAATAGGAATTCACAGTCTTCAAAAGCACAAACCTTGTGGCCAGCACAAAACTTTAAGGAAATACTCTCAGCTAATGAGACAGACCTCAAAAAAGAGCTGGTTGCAGATATGCATCCTGATGACGTGTACAGTCTTCAAAACAAACTGAGAGACACATCACCATCCAAGTGAGTAAAGTTGTTACTGCTTCAGGTTCCTTTTTCTAAACAGCACTGCCAAGTGATAGATTTTATTCACATACAACTCTGTTGCACTAAATGATGAATTTTACTAATATAATATAAAAGAACTGGAGCATTTAATTAAGAGATGTCTTGAAGTACAAATTACTATATTTCTTAGTGCAGAACTACTGAAAAACTCGTACTGCCTGCAGTAGGGATGCTATGGATCTCTTTCCACACCTCAGGCCCACAGCTCTGCAGTGAAATATCCTCTCCTGAGCAAACTCAAATATCCTTGGTTACTCTATGAGGTGGGATGACCTTACATCACTCAGAGGTTGTTTCTGTCCGTTGACGTGTATAAGGAAATGGAAGGTCCCACTAAGCTACAGACATTTCCCTGGGAAGCTGGCTGACATGTTCATACAAACCCTCTGTTTGTGTGACCACACTTTATGTGTAAAATAAGAATTTGAGACTAGTTATAATTTATTTTGCAGTTGTGTGCTGTAGTGCCTTCTTTGAAGGATGTAGAAGTATATGTATGTTGAAATTAATGAATGAAATTTTATGGCATAAACTTGTAAGCTAGAAAATCATTTATGGGAGGCTGGGAAGTATCAGTCCTATTTTTCATATGGAAGGACTAGGGGCAGCATCTCTGATAGCATATATAGAAATCACAGACATAAAATGTGGGCTCATAAGACCCAACCTTTTTTTTTCCCCTGACTGTAGTGTCATTAATTTCTTGAGGGCTGATTGAATAACAGGAAGCATTACAAGGAAAGGTATTCATCCTGTTGGCTTTCTTTGGAATGCTTGGGTAGAAATATTTGGAGACAGCGAGCAACCAGCAACATGGACAATTGTTTATCTTCTAGTGTTACTGTCACAAAATAAATTCTTACTACATAGCATGTATAAATTTACATTCCTTGAAAGTGCACCTCTTTCATATTACAAAGGGAGATGTAACTGTGTGAATTAAGGAATGGGAAGGTGTGGAGCTCTGTGAGGTTTTTATGGCCACTGTGTAGAACAACGACACGAGTCACAAACGACAGACCCCAAAATGAATTATGTGTCTCTCCCTATACAAATGACAATAAAAATGCCATAACAACCCACACCATCATAAATTTTGTTTATGCCCTCTATTCTTTGACTCCCTGCATTTTTTCAGATCCGCTGATGTTTGATTCCATAAAAGGGAGTGCATCTGTGCTACAGATAGTTGCAATATAAAGGAGATGTCTACATTCACAAGTGCAGAATAAATTCAACTGTTCTGAACTGATATGTAGACCCTAGCTTGTGGAGAAGAGTTTGAACACTGCAGTGGTTGCCATGGTCGTGTCTTTGGTAATAAGCATGCAGAGATGTGTAGAATTCATCAAGCTGGGTGAAAGTCAAATGTGCTCCTGGTGGCCAGTATAGAAAGTTTGCATGCTGAGTAAAAAACAATAATAATAACAGGAAAAAATAAGTGTATTCTTTAACATTCTGTTAGTGTATTCTGTCTTATTTATTTTGGCACCTTCGATGCAATCTGTGTTACTTTCAGGCAGACAATCCAGTTCATTGTAGTTTCTGCACATCTTAAAAATGAAGCAGTTAAGTGAGGGACAATAACCACCAGTTATGCCCACAGATACAAAACTCAGCACTTAGAGACAAAGCGTTTGTCACTGTGGCCATAAAAGCATTTTAAAAGAAAATCGAGTCCCATAAAATTATAGCTTAGAAATATAAATTTAATTCACTTTTTATTTATATTTAAATGTTATTTACGGTCAGAAAATTACTTTCAAAGATAATTTCATTTCCTCAGATATGATTCATTAGTTCGTTCACAAGCTCAAGAGCTTTCCATTCAACACCACCAAATTAAGGAGATCCGCTGTGGCTGTGTCACTTACCATCAGCATCTGACGAGCCTTATTAAGGCTTTTGAGGAACTGCTTCAAGCCAGTGATGTGGATTATTACGTTGCTGAAGGCTTCCGTGAGCAGCTGAATCAAAGTGTGCTGTTGTTTGAAAAGCTGGAAAGGAAACTCCTGTATGGTAAGTAGCAAAGCTTTGTGCTTGTTTGAAGTGCGTTCGTGTAGAGTTTTGTGTCTGTGGAAATGAAACCCTTGCTTTCTCATGGTTGCTTCTGGATGTGTTATGCGATGGACTGGCTTGGAAGATCCAAAAAGACTGGGCTTTACCTTTGCAGTTGCCCTCTGTATTGGCACCTTCCATTTCCATTTTGAGTTGTCTTAGAGGATTTTAAACTGCTCAAAACCCAGTCGTTATGGTTTATTAAAGTTTTAATTTCAGTCCTGTGATTGCAACTGGTGCTGTTTGTGACCCAGCTGGTAGAGCTTCTGCAGATGTCAGCTGCAAAACGGACATCTTCAGCCAAGCACTTGAATTGCCCTAAAAAAAGGGACCTAGACCCCCTGTGTCTTTCTGACATTGCTTCTGGAAGATCCCTTTGTTTGGAAATGTTCAGCTCCCAGCCCTGCAATGATTTGTATTCTGTCTTTCTTTAAAGATAGTTGCAGCATTTTGCTGTTTGTGATGGCTCATGGAAGGGAGCTGTATATGAGGAAAAGGCATTAACGGGCAGTGTGTCATAGCAGTGTAATAAAAGATTGAGTGTCTTCAGTGATTTTGGTGGCAACAGAGATTCCTTGCATTAAAAATAGGAAGAGTGTGCAGTGAATAAACATTAAATGTCTTAAAAAAAAAAAAAACAAAACCAAACCAAAAAAAACCACCAAGCCAACAGATGGTATCCTATATACTATGAAAAGCCACTGACAACTGAGACAATTCAATGTATCTAACACAATGCTATTGCACTGAATCACACTGTAAAATAAAATGATGTTTGTAGGGCGATAAAGAACATCCAGCTTACTAGGAACTGACTGTAAAGAAGGTGCATAAACAGCCGTCTGTCTCTGCATTTCCATCCTAACCTTCAGTTCATTCCCCTGAAATCTGAGCTGTGCAACTCTTGCCTGCCACTTTTGCTTAATTGCACAAAAATTTTGCACTGTGCTGAGCCAAGGTGACACGACACAATTCTTATTTCCTAATTCAAATTAGTGTCTGAGCCCAGGTCTGTAGCACTGAGTTGTGTGTGTGCTTACACACTGTGCCACTGAGAGTACTGCAGGCAGAGCCCTGTGTGTGCTCCTTTATTAAGGACAGCTTGTTAGCTTGGCTCCAGATGGCCAACATCCAAGTAAGCTGGAATGGTTCTTGTGCAATTTTTATTGAAGTAGCAGTGGCAGTAGTAGTGCCCCTAATCCTTTTGTCATGTAGCAGGATATTTCATCTCAGTCTGCTAACTAAAACACTAAAATCTGTGTAAAATCTGGCACATATGTTGCTCAGTCCTTCCTTGGTCATTTTTTTGAACTCAAAGAAACTTTTGTTGCTGTGTTATAAGTAGTTTTTCTCACGTACATATTTGACATGAATGCACAGCGTGTTGAGAATCCACTGGCTTCTCTAAATTCTCATTAATTTACCAGTCTGTGTTTGAATAGCTTGAAATGGAGGGGAAGCAAAAATTATTCTCAGTCTCTCTCTTTAATCAGATGCTTTTGCTTTGCAGGAGAGTCAGTAGGTGCAGAAGTTACCATACTTTATGAATTAGCTCAAAGGTAAGAGTGCAACTCAGTGTTATTTAAGTGTATTGTTGTTTGACAAGTTGGTAAGGATGCTCCATGTTTTGCAGCCCAACCTTACTGTCTTACTTTTTGGAGGGGACTTTTTTTATGCTGCCTGTTTCAGTAATATACATTTTGTTAGTAAAATATTCACAGAAAACAAGCTTAGTTTTTTTTTCTCTACTCAGCAAATCATGGAATCATTTGGAAGGGATCATTAAAGGTCCACCTTCCTGCATTGAGCAGAGACAATCTGCATCTTGGTCAGGGTGCTCAGAGCCTGGTCTGGCCTCACCTTGAATGTCTCCAGGGACAGGGCGTCCACCACCAACCTCTGCCAGTGTTTCACCAATGCATGGTTTAATTACTGAGGCAAACCATCGTGTTGCCAGGTTTTCCCTTTCACAAAGAAACAAAATGTTCGCTGTTGTGCTGTAAGACGCCACTGTGTGTATTTAGGTATTATCCTAATTGCAGCTGCTAGAAAGGGTAGCTTTTCTGGTTGTGTGATCTTGGTGCACCAGTATACAGTTCTGTTGTACTTCACTGTCAAAACGCCATTCTGCTGAAGAAAGCAGCATGAGGGTGAAGGTGAAGAGAGCAGGTGTTGGCTGCATATGTTGGGTTTCTGCCAGCCTGGGGTTCTTTTGTGCTACAGAAGTCCTCAGCTTCCTATTGAAGGCAGTTTGAGGTCCCCTTAGCACAGAGGTGATCACCTTGTGCTGCAGTGTGAACACTGGGCTTCAGATTCATTGGTTGTTCCTGCTGACTTCAGTGAGGTTTGGATTTCAATCTTGATACATGCAGCTAACATAGTGCTCTGTAATGTTTAGTCACCTAAAATCACTTGCTTTGCCTTTGTCCTGTAAACATGATACCATGCTGTCTTTCCTGCTCCCAAAATAATAGAATAACTCTTACATTTTAAAACATGTTGCCTGTCTCAAAAGGGAAAATGAGAAGAATGCCACGATGTATGAGGAGCTTAAGGATGAATCACCTGTACCATCTGCTCTTCATAGCCTGTCTGATTTTGATTTGTCAGAGAAGTCATCTCTCGGATCACCAGAGCCCAGACATGACCTAGGAGAAGGACAGCATGCCACACTGGCACTTCTGCCAAGCAAATTTCCCCCAGGTAACAATCTTCCCAACGAAGATATTGGGGAAACTGCGATAAATAAGACACGAGGGAACTAATTAAGAAATAATGAAGAATGTTTGTCTGCTCCAGCTTTCCAGTATCTTGCATAATCATTGCAATTTCAGTAATAAGGCACACAGAGATGACAACGATTTGAACTACCTCCTGTTTGAAACAAAATTAACTACGATATTTTGTCTTTGTTGTTTTAGACTATCATCTTTTACGGTACTCCAGACGGTCTTTAAATAGACAAGTTATGAGGGGAAATAGACAATTGTCAAGAGATTATTGCACTGTAAAAGAAAGATTTTCTAGTTTTATAAAAGCCAGTGTTGTGTTTCCTTGAGAATTGTAAGTGCTGCATAATTAATAAGCAGTGTCATGTTTGACCTGGATAGTTTCACTAAGCATGAGCGGTGCTGGCAGCAGTTTGTTACAGGCAGCAATGAAAATTTAATAGCTGAGATAGCACGTCGTGTGCAGGAGAAAAAATTGCAGAGTAAACCAGGAGTGTATGACATGGATAAACTGGCAAATAAGATAGTGACAGCTAAAACAGATAAGTTCCTGGGTAACGCTGAAACTTACAGCCAGTGGAAGAAGAATTGTAGAATGGCAAAGCAAGAAGGAACAGGTATGGTAATGAAACTTGATAGAGCAGATTTATTTATTAAGGTATGCATTGTGTGAGCCAAAGTCAAATTTATATCTGAATTACTCCAGTAGGCTTCCTATTGTTACAAGGAAGAATGTGTACTCTTAGTGTGTTTAGTCTGAATGTTTGGCTGTATTGCAGAGCTTTGGATTCATGTCTGAATGTAGGCAGTGTTCTAACTAGATGTTATTTCCATCTGCTACAGTTTTTTTAGGAAGATGATGTTTAAAAAGCCTGAAAACTGGACCATTGTTAACATTTAGAGTAGTTCTCAGGACATGTGTGGTTTGGGCCCAAATGGAGAAATGCCTGTTGTGGACACAGTTACTTAGTGTGTAACATTTTGAATGGTTGTGTGTCCTAACACACATTAGATTTGACAGGAGTGCTCAGTGGAGAGGGTTACAGTCATTTACTCTAAATAAGAAGTGGTCCAAATAAGAATTTCTTGTAAGTAAGAAGTGATTTCTTGGTTCATGCAGAGTTATTAATGGAGTATCTGAATGAAATTCGAATCCTGAGACAACGTTTAGAATACTCCATAAAAAACAATGAGAGACTGAGGAAGCAGCTTGAGAGGCAAGTAAGAGACAAAGAGCTAGATCAAGGTAAGAATTTATCTGCTGATAACTTAAATCCACCTCTTCTGCCTGAAGCCTGAGGGAACAAATGCCTAATCCTAACCTTAACTCCATTCCTTGAAGCAATACAGATGCACAGAGCTTCTGTGGGATGCGGATACACCACAGAGCCTACAGTTGCAAGTGTTGCTAAGAGAACAGGACCGAAGTGCTACCAGGTTGTTTTAAGCCATTTGATGTTACTGTGGTTGAATTTCACCCAGAAAATTGAATGACCTTCTAGTTCTGTTATCCGAGAACAGCCCGCTTCCTTTTGCCTTTAGGACATCATTATTGTTATAATGGTCTTGGATGTTAGGATGTCACCCTCTTAATCCTCTGCCACGTCCAGCCGGGGGCAGTTGCAGGTGAGGAAGCCAATTTTAACAACATAATTTCAGTTGGGCCCAAGCCCAGTATGAAAAGAGGAGGCTATTTGTACTAAATTACATTGCTGCTATTGATATGAAGGAAGAATGCTGTGGAATTAGCTCTCATACTTCTCCTCCCTGTGTACTCAGGGTGGTGAGTGCTCCAAGTACAGCACTGCTGGAGGTGCCTTCTGTGCAGCTCTATGACTGCCTCTGAAGCCAGGTTTGTGTACATAAGGGAAAAATAGCCACAGTAGAGCACAGAGCCTGGGCCTTGTTCAGCCTGTCACTTGAAGTGATTTCTATGATAAATGTGTTCTACACAAAATGACATTGTGAGTTTTTAATGAGAAGTACCTGTCAAACCGATGGAAATTTTAACATAGAGTGGGTTTTCATTCCAAACTCTAATATAAAGCAGTGGATGAAAAAGACTAAAAATAAACATGCAAATTCAGAATTACTGTACTCTCTTGGTAGTATTCGGCACCTCTGAAAACTCAGCTCAGTGGTGCATGTAAAACTTGTCATGAGATGGTGGCCAGGCTCCCACTCAGGACCATTTCCTAGCACCTTTCAAGCACACAGCACCAGACATACCTTCCCACATTTTGCACTTTTCTTGTTCTCCTTCCCAAGTTTTTCCCTATAGGACAATTGATTAATATGTAATATTACTCAGAGTGGAAGCAGGCAATGAATACATCTATGCTCTTCTCTTAACTCAGTTTCACTAATATTGACATTAGATTCATTATGTTTTACATCATCCCCGTGATCCGTTTCTGTTGTTGTTTAAATGGATACTGGCTACAAATGGCAGTGTGCTTTCAGGAATAATTTACTCTGCTGGAATGGTGTATAAAAAAAGCATCCATTTCATACATGAAGTATTTACAGTGCTGGAAAGGCACACCGTTCTCTTGAAATAACCACACTGAAACACTTCCAGCTCTGTTACGGCTTCATAAAGATTCTGGCAAGGGCATCCATTAATGCAGTGAAAGTATATTTTCTTTATAAACTGTCTTATGCTTTCTGTCTGTCTTCTTGTTGCCTTGGTGCACCTAGCAATGCATGGAGGAAAATCTTCAAAAAGAAAAGAAAAAACAACTGTGTGTTACAGCTGTTCCTTTTTGTTATGGTGTTCTTTCTGCTCTTCCTTATTCTCTCAGTTCTGAAGATCTCTTTCATGTTCTCAGATATCTTCTCTTCGAGTAATGATGCTACTTATTTTCATAATAGATGGGTTTTGTTCGTGGGGTTTTGTTATTTTATGTTTTAACTTTCAGTGTAAAAACAGGTTCCCAAGTGGAGCTGAAGGGGATTTTAGCTTTGAGTCATAATCTTCAAAGCAGTTTTTTCAGTTTTAACTTAATATCCTTACTCTGTTTTCTTTTAAAAATCGAAACCAAGTTGTAACAGAACTTAATTGCTGATGAGAGCCTCTTAAATTTGTTTGATATTGAGTTGTGTGTTCAAAGAAATTTAACACACAGAATTTTTCTTGACTATTTGGTAGATATTGCATCTATGCATGCACACACACCTGCCTGCTTTTTTTGCCATGCTATTTTTAATAAGTTGATTTTCAAAGCATTTGAGTGCCTCTGGGCTTCCACCATTCTATAAGTGATACAAGGTGCTGGTAATGACTACATCATTACTACAGAGCTGAGATTTGCAGTGCAGGTAGAACTGAAATAATTGCTTCAATCATTTCAAATGTTAGGCATCAAAATAAAATCAAAGGTTTAATTTTGAGTTTCCTATGTTTCAAATGTTAATAACAGCAGTTAACATTAAAAGGGGTTTTTGTTTCCTTTTTTTTAACCCATAAGCAACTAATGTCTGTCCTCAGCCTTCAGCTTTGTTTTGCCTTTATTTTGCTTTCATTGGGAGTGCTTCTTCCCTTCCTCTTTGCTGTGATGTTCTGTAGTGCCTGTCTTTCAGCCAGTGCTTCTTTGAAACCTTCAAGGTATGCTTTCTTAGTGCTCACACGTAGTGCTCAGCACATAACATAATGAAAACTCAAGTGTAGCCCAATTGCAGGCCCTGATGCTTCACTGTACTCTGGCTGGATGGACCTTTGCATCTATGGAGAGCATAATTGATGTCAGCAGGGCTCTGCACAGAAGTAGTAGTCTCAGTAGTAGGTCAAATTGCAGGATTGTGGCCTTATTACCACTGGCTCTGCATTATCCCTTATTATGTAAGATAACTAATAGTTATATTCTAAAGCTTTTCGGTCGGATTGTGATAGCATAACTTTTCAGATGGGATAAAGCTGGGTGATGGGCAATAAATTAAATTAGAATCAAGATGAGACCATCAAGGTTTGCTACTTGAAGTTGAATTGCTTTGTTAAAATCTGAAAGGAAAAAGCCTTTTGAGTTCACGTAGCTACCTCAACTCTTTAACATATAGATAGTAAAATGCCATTAGTGCTGAGCTTCTAGAGCCTGTGAGTCTTTCAGTAATGACAAGAGGTGCATATCATGGCACACTACATCGCAGTTAGGTAGTTGGTAAAAGCTTCAGTTGGGATTACAATAAAATGAGATTATTCAGAGGAAGTGCAGCACATCCAGTTGAATTGAATTGCCAGAGCTGAAAGGCATCCTCCTCATACATTCCACTAATTTTTCTGCCAGCTGGTTATTTCTCTATTAACCAAACAGTTGACACTCATGCAGTTATCTCGAGCACTAAAGCATAGTAGATGCTGGGATAACCAATCAACTGAAAAATAGTTTTAATGGTAATGTTAATTCCAGTGGGTTCTGAAGTGCTTTACTGACTAGAAATAGGTTATAAAGGGCAATAACAGTTACTTGACTTGTGTTTGCAAGGCAGCTGCCTTGAGAATGGAATATGGCAGTTTTCAAGGTGTACTGTACACATCAATGTGGGATGAGTAGTGTAAATGCAGTACGTTGTGAGGATTACTTAGGCTGGAGTTTACCTGATGTGGATACAACAGGATTCAACACTCACATCCATGTGAGACCTTCAGAGTAGGATTCACCAACCCTGAGTTTCTAGCAGTCAGACATTAAAATCCAGTCACACACAGCTCCACTTGGAGGCACTGGCAAGAAGTTCCTCCCTTTGGAGGACAGTGCATTTCCTCCCCAGAGGGACGTGCAGAGGATGTGTCCCTCTCTGGGGGTTCCTGTGCCTCCCCATAACCACTGATGGAAGCCCAAGGTGATCAACACAGGCTCAGCTATATAAACCTTAAATATCTGAAATAAAGAGGTATGAGACTTCATCCCTAGCATCATAAATTATAACTGGAGGGAAAGATGGTGACTCCACGCTTACAGTCTGGACTGAAATGGCATCATGTATATTAACATCACATTACTTCCTTCATTAGCCATTGTTAATTAATTTGTAAAAGCTAGCCGTCTCTGCAATGGTTTGTATGAACAGAGCAATACAGAAATACAGGTAAACCTTGGTACAGTTTGCATTATTTTAAAATAGCAATGTCACAAAATACTGCTGCATTTTGTCCTGGTGCGTTCTTGGCTGATGGTTACAGACTAGCAGGGATAATTTTGCAATTTGGGTAATGGCTGCCCAGCAATGAGAGGTACTTGTGATGCAGAGCTTTAGGTTACTTGGCATTAACCTGAACTGTCTTTCAGCCTGTAAGGATAACCTTCAAAACACATAGGGGATAAATACCTTTCATAACATGTTTTTCTGCAATTTTAAAAATTGTTCTTGTCTGGAAAGTTTAATCTTTAATGACCTAGAGATGACTCATAAATCATCTTTTATGTACATATTTATAGGTTCTGCAAACAATTTTATCCATGGCTCAGAGCAGCATAATTCTCTCACTTCTGAAGTACATTTCCTGAGAAAGCAAAATCAAGTTCTGAATGCAATGCTGGCAAAAGGATCCAGAGGTAAAATGTAAAACTCTGCTTTACAGAAGTAGACTGCAACTCATTCCAAATCAGAAAACAAGGAAGTATTTACAGTCCATTAAATTACCTTCACCGTTCTTCCCACACCTGAAATTCCATGCTCAGCCATAAGCACTCACACTGGGGTTAACAATGATAAAAGTGAAGCAGTAATGCTCCTTTCTCTTTATTCGTAGCATTTTCCATTTGATGTGTGCTTTCATTTTTCCATTCTTCTTTTTATATACCATTCTTTTTATATGTCCTTTCCCCTCTTTCTTCTGTGCCTTTTATTCCCATTTTCATAATCCTTTTTTCCTGAAGCCCTCGTTTTGGTGCCTCTTACAGCTTACCATTGTGTTTAAAATGTACTGTTTGTTAAAATATTACAGCTTTTGTTTGTTTCTACATCTGACAATATGATCTGATAATACCAGTGTTTCTTTTTTATATTAAGAACTGTGATGAATAACGCATTGCTGCCCTTGAGTTTTAAAATAATATCCATGTCTCCAGAGCTGTGAGCTTCTTTTCCTTTTGTTCCTGGAGGAAAGCTGCCTACTTACCTCTTGCTTGCTTTCATCTTGGGTCCAATCTTAGCTTATCCTGTTAGCAGTGGAAGGCTGAAGGTGCTTGTTGTCAGCAGCACGTGGTATTACCATTTGCATGTGCTTTCAGCACGGCTACTGAAGGTGAAGGAATGATTTTCTAACTGTTGGGAGTTGGAATGACTCTGCCTTGTGTTACCTTGCCAAACCTGCCTCTTTCTTTTCTAATGCTGGTTCGCTTCGGGTGACTTAATGTCCCTGTGGAGTTCTCTGGCCGCAGCAGTCATTTGTCCCTACCAACAGTTCTTTGTCCTGGGGAATTGTTGTACCAAGGAAGGGAGGACAGCTGTGATAAAGTTGGCAGATGGATAAGACTGGGAAGGATAGGATGAAGGGATTTCTGTGGGACGAGATGGAATGGATGCGACTCTCAGAAGCGAGCCTATTATTTTTTTTTTCCTCCTAACAACTAAAAAAAGTTATTCTGGGAGGATTATCAAAGTTAATGTGCCTTCTTTGGGAAATTGCTGCTGCTAGTTTTTGAATGCTTTCCTTCTGATCAGTTCCAAGATGTGGGGCATTGGCAAAGGAGGCTGTACATAGGTTTTTATTGAGCCCTCCTAAAGAACCTCTTGCAAGTCTTGGGGATTAAATGTTGTATTTTCACAGGGAATATATACAGCAAAAAATCATTTAACAATTGGAAAAGTGAAATCCTAAAACTCACAAGAGCAGCTGCTATTTTCTGTCAGTCTCTAAGAGAGCTGATTCTGTTGAAAAGCTTTTAATGTGTTATAGGCAATACAAACACCACGTGTTTCTTCTTTCAGATAAACAAAAGGAAAATGAAAAGCTAAGAGAATCTCTTTCTAAAAAGAATGCAATCATTGAACGTCTTCACGAGGATTATGAACGCATCAAGAAAGAAAATGAAAGGTTGCAAAAACAAATTGGCAAAAAGGAGGACGAGACCAGATATCTGACCTGTGAAATTTACAGCAGTCGTAATGAATTAAACAGGTATAGATTCTGTCCACATTTAGACATGCATTTAGAGAAGAAAATTGTCAGCGTGATGTGGATGTGTTTAGCCATAGCCATTAACATTAATCAGGTTCATAGATACATTCAAAAGGCAACGGAGGAATTGTTGAGGAAGGAGGACTGGATTCTAGATTTTGAAATAAAGGGTAAGAATTCAACCATTAACTTAGTGATTTATTGGATCTTAACAGGTTGCAAACAGAAATGAATGTAAAGCAGCATCAGCTCTCCGAGAATGAGAAGTTACTGCAGTCGCTCCGGACTGAGATCAAAGTTTATGAAAAGCTGGAGGAAGCAAGGAGGAAGAGGACAGGTATAAACACAGTTATTTCTTTACCCTGGGCTCTTGCAGCCCATCTCTCCCTGGATATGATCTTGTCAGAGGACAGAAGGGCTCGGTCACTGCTGCTTTGGTTTTGCTTGGGTTTGCTTTCCAAAAGCAGAAGCAACAGCCTGATGATAAAATGTTGGTTTTTACTTGGGAAGTGTAGTTGCAAGGTGTGCTTATGCTCTGACCAGGCATGTTCAGGTTGCTTTCCACCTTTAATGGAAGATATGGCACCAAATAGGGGTAGCATGGTTAGGTAAAACAGCAGAATGCTGGTCAGTACAGCGTACAGGATCCAGCAAATGTCCCGCTGGAAGTTCTTGTGAAAGTCAGCTTTTCTCTTCTTCCAACATTAAGTAATATGCCCTGCTGTTACTGTATTTCATGCCTAACTACAGAACAGCCCTCTTGGTGTTAGACATTAAGCCACTGTTGGCTCAGGGATAGAAGTACATTTCCTTGCAGAACTGGTAATGTGATTAGAGAGCAGCAGCACCCACCTCATGCCACTGGAATCCTTTCCACTATCTGGAGAACAGTTTGATTTCAGCATCAGCAACACATGAAATTTTTGGTGTACCGACCCCCATCTATGAAAGATGAAGCCTTTTTTTTTTTTTTGTGATGTTCAGATTTGTTGCTGGTTGCCAGGTGATCACTGTTTTCTTTTTCTCTGCAGTGTGTAAAATTAAACTCCCAGTTGTCCTCTATTCCTCCTCTGTGCTCCAAGATTACCCATTACTTCTTTTTCCCCCAGACTGTGCTTTATTGCACTTCAAATTTTGTAAATCTTCCTCATTCTCTTACTATTATATTTTTGCTGTTGGTATGAGACTTATTAGCTTTTATGGACAAAGTACAAAATAATTTTCAGCTCTTCAGATCTTTTGAGAGTAAAAGCAATTAAGACATGCTTTGTCAAACCATTATCTCAGTGCCGTTTGTAGTTAATTCTTAATATTGAGGATAAAACTGGCTATAATTTACTTGTTCAGCATTCTGATAATGGCTGATATTATTTTAATTGTGAAAGATGTTAAGTGTTTCTTTCAAATCGTTTCAGATCCCAGATGTGATGCATCAGAAGAATTTCGAAAAGATCAGAATAATCCAGTTGACTTGCATGAACTACTGACTGAAATACAGAGTTTGCGAGTGCAGCTTGAAAGAAGCATAGAGACAAACAAGACTTTGCACGAAAAATTGGAGGAGCAGCTTTCAAAAGAAAAGAAGGAGGAAATGGGATCAGTGTCAGCTGTGAATATCAATTATCTTTTCAAACAATCTCAGCATTATGCAGGAATGAACGGTACTGTGCCACAAGTGCTTTGGTTACGCTGTAGAACCTGTTCCTTGTTTAAAGATGCTCTTAAAACTTTATTCAACACCGACTCTACAGTTTGGAAACTGCCCATCAGCCCTTCAGATCCCTTTCATGCTAGAGCAATTAGTGCACGGGGTGATGACATGCACACTGTGCTGTCTTATAGGCTCCAACTGTCACTTCTTTTTCATTCAAGAAAAGCATTTGCGGAAAATGTCTGGGATGGAAGGATGGCTGTGTTAAAGTGCCAGAAATTTTGCTTACTGGAGGGTTCTTATTTTAATGCAGACTTCTATAGCATTTGCTGTGGTTGACTCAGGAAGGATCAATAAGTTCACTAAATGGTCTTTGTATAAATCAGTTTTCCCCTTTATGCTTTTGGGAAATATTTTACCTTTATTTCAATCACTGTTAAGTGATACTGTTGCAGCACATCAGGGAAAATGTATTCTTATGGCTGCATTTCAGGTTATGGCCCCACTATGGATGAACAGGGCACAAAAATGGTCTGTCTTGCTGCTGAAGTGCTCTGCAGCTTTCCATACATACAGCCTAAAGTCTCCCTTCCCACTGCTTGTATAGGTATACAAGATCTGACCTTATGTATGATGTAGCTTTGGAGAGTGTCATCCTTATGGAGCTGATTAAAATATCTTCATCAGGCTATACTGTAGCCACATCTTGAGTTTGGGAGATATCTTCAACTCTGGGTAGATGCCAAAAATAATGAGTGTGGGTGAAGGATGGAAGGTGTTTGGCCTGAGTACAAGAAAATTCATTGTATTTCCCTACTTCTTGTAGAAAAGAGGAACAGAAGTTGACCCAGGGTGACTTTTTTAATGTGTGTTAACTTCTATTGATACGCTCTTCCTTATTCTCTTTTGATGTATAGAAAATCCTTGCAAATGCCCTGCTGCCAGCAGAAACACTTGTGAGCTGCAGAAGCACAGACACGGCTTTTCGCTGGCACAAACAGGTACATCCACAGGTACCCTGTATGTGCATGTTTGAAAGACGTCTCATGTCAACTATGTGTAAGGATAGAACAAATCTCTACTGCTTTTCTGTGCCAGGTACACACTCTGCCTCTAAAGATGACTTAGACTGCTGCAGTACCTCATCTTCTGGTACACCATGTACCCCTCGGCTCGTTCCTGGGCATCGGATGTGGGCAGACAAAAATGGGCGCCACGTCCTTGGTTTGATTGAGGATTACAATGCTCTCCGGAAACAGATTTCAGAAGGGCAAGAGGTTTTGGGAGAAATGGAGGTTACTTTAAGAGAGGTCGCCGGTACGAAGCTGCAGGAGCCTGGAATCAAGGTAAGCAGTGAAAGCTGGTAGAAAGTGCTGGATTTTGCCTAGCGATGCAAAATGTGTAGATTACAAAAACAACCAGGTTAATGGTGCAGCAGGCACTGTTAACTTCTTAACTCTGGTGGGATACCTCAGCCTTGGCTGTTGAAGTTGCATCTAGATGCAGGCTCCTGTTTGTGATTCTGTATTAATGGGGCTGTGGATAAGTTAGTTAATTCTGGTCCTTTAATAAGGTGTCTCACTTTACTTGAAATGAGGTGAGACTGCTTGCTTTTCCTATGGAAACTGGTAGTCATCACACTGGAAGTTACTGAAAAACAACAGCAAAACAGGTTCAACTGTAAAATGCTTTAGACAGGGCTTAAGCTATGGGTATGTGTCAGTAACCTAAGGATAATAATAATAAAGGAGATTTTGCTGTAATGGAGGCTTGGGATAATCCCAGGAAATGAGAGTTAGTTAAAAGTAATTTAATACACAGCTGACGACAGCCAGCTGGCTGGGTTCTCCACTTACCTGTACCCTGCCCTCCAGTAACACAAGTGATCCCATTACAGCAATGACTGATGTATGCTAACAAGGGTGGTTTCACACTGAGGAAGCTCTTATATATTTTTTCCACTTTCTGGTAGCAGGTGAATACTTCAGTAATATCAGCAGCTAATCCAGCAACTTGAATATCTCAGTAATGGGAAAGTCTTGACTTCTTAGACACAGTCAGTCTTTCTTTCTGCATCACATGTGACATAAAGATATCAAGGGGAAAAAAAGATCAGATATTTCAAGGTTTTCCCCTAGAATCAGGAGAGCAAGTGTTTGCTTACACTGATTTGTTCTTACTTAGTGTTAATAATATCTGGGTGCAGTTAACAGCCCAGTAGTGCATTCGGGATGGATGAGATAATTAAACCTACCTCCAAGTTTCAGCAAAAGGGAAAGAAAAATCTGTATGTGTCCATGGCAGTTAATAATGAACTGAGAAACTTAACCTGCAATAGGGGAGATTTGAAACAGAAGGTTGGAACAAGATGCTGGTGGTAGAAACAGTGAAACACTGTACTGGAGGCTGCTCACTGATACTGCTGAATCACTATTAGCAGAGATATTTCTAAGAACACTTCTATTTCCAAGTCGTAATTAGTAAAGCTGTTGAGAATGCAGCCTGCAACAACTCTGAAATTCTTTTTGTAGTATCACCTGCACACTCACAGTAGAAAGATGTGTGAATGACACTCAAGGGTCTCTGAAGTACCGTGTGTTTTCAGACGACCCAGTTAAGGTGCTAATAATGACTGAAGAAGAAATCTAAGTTTTTAACTTCTGTTGGTGTAAAGATAAAAGCAGTGAGGTTTCCTATCAGGCTTTACATCGTTGAAGTTTCAGACTACTTGGCAAATGGGATGCTTTGTATGACAGGAGGATTGCAATTCCGAGTCACTGTTCAGATGATACGTTGGATGGGGCACAAACCATAAATGCCTTTACTTCACTGCCCTCCCCCATTCTGTATCACTGCTGCTTTGGTAATCCATTTGCTCCCCTTGCATTCTTTCTCTCCTTTATTTCACATTTGTGCAATTTCTTCCATTTGATTTTCTTATCTGTCAGCAGAGGAAAACACTTTATGTGTGTTCTGATAGTTATTTTAGCATTAAATGGAACAGTTTAAAGGGTCTGCTAAGGAAGAAACATCTATATTGCTTAAATTGATGTCTGTAATCATTTGACTTTCAAATAATGTGACACAAAATGCAAATGGAGGAAGGCAAGAGTTGCCAACTGTTACCATGTGGCACAGCAAATCCAGTAAATGTAATCTATTATTAATCATGGTTATTGATGAGGAGATATCTCCTTCCTCCCTCAAATTCTGAGATAATGTGCAATTCAGCAGCCTGTCTAAACGAAGAAATGAGCTTTTTTGGCACACAATAGCTGTGTACATCATCTTCAATAGGAAACCTTATCAATGGAATTTATACCACTAATCAAGATTACATTTTCATCGTTCCTTAAAGGTAAAATGTAACATGTGTCTAATCCTACAATACAGGTACCAGACCAGGCATCGCTGCAAAGCTTTTCTGCAAGCACCAACACAGTGCAGCAGATTTTAGAAGAGGCTGCACGTTTATTGAAACTTCTCTGGAGAGTTTCCCTTCCAATGAAAGCAGCACACAGTTCTGCTCACGGCACTCAGGTATTGCTCTGTTTCATGTTGTTTGAGTTTTGCTGTCTGGAGCTGTTGCAGTGTGTCAAGGAGGACACACCAGTTAAGAACATGTCATCTGGGAAAATGGTTTGTAAATCCAACGTGGGTAGCCCAGTTTTTAGGTAGCTCTCATCTGAAGGCCATGGCTGAATGTGCACTGCCTTCCTGTGCTGATCATACTGCACAACTCAGCTGTTTATTTACCAGATTCCTTATATGCAGGTTTCATCTGCAGCCTTGCCGTGTGATATTTAGGCAAGCTAGGCAAACTGCAAACATTCCCTTTCAGTGAGAAAAGATTTGGACTCCCTGTTATAGAATTAAATTCAATTTGATTATATATATTCCAGTAACAACAGAAACTTCAGCAACTTTGATGTAATCTGAGCTACATTTTCGTTTTATGTTTTTGATGCCTAAGCTGTAAAATAGGATGCTTTCTTAAAAGTGTGACAAAACCCCGAGACAAGTTTTATAACATTTTAACTAAAAAGGATTGCACTATGCAAATGAATGAAAGTAAACCGAATGAGGAATGAATTATCTGTACTGTCATGATATCACCACTCAACAATAAACTGCTTCAAACTCTGGCTGTAAATCCATCTGAATTTTTTTTTTTTCCCTGAGCTTTTTTGTACGTATTTCTTAAAAGAAGCAGGAGATTGCTGAAGAGAATAGAACTTCAGGAAAGCTAACACTTGATATATCATTTTAATAACGTTTTTGTTGCGGTTTTCTGGCACTGTTATATGTGTTAAATCAGAAAAGCAGTATAAATCTTTCATGTCTCACTTCCATATGTGGGATATTGGAACACCTCCATTTTTATCCCTATGTGCACAGTATATGTGGGCAGCTGTATGTTGGCCTGGCTTGGGTGATCTGAGCACGGCACAGATACACACAGACAAAGGCTTTTTCTGTCTGTATGATTTAAACCCTGATCTGGATCAGTCAGAAAATCTGACCTCGTGTGTGAGAGATCTGAGTTTCTACTACAGTTCTTAATTAGAGTCTATTTAGAATTCTTTTTTAGACCTTCTTATCCAACACACTGAGATCTTACGATCATTAGAGTGCTTCTGATGTCTTAAATGCAGTATATGAAGGAATGCCTCCTAAAAGATACTGAGTGTTCACTGCCTTCTGTTTAGCCCCACAGGAGTAATCAGCTCTTCTAAAGAGCAAAGTGCTGGGGGAGAATTCCAGAAGGTACTATTATCTCACAGCACAACAAGACAAATGTATAAGCTTAACTTTACATGGAGAATCCAGATCAGTGCATTATTAGCAGACTGCATCAGGGCTACTTGCAGTCCTGTTTTACAGGGTGCCAACCATGACCTGCTTAGAATTGGTGGTTAAAAACTGAATCTAAAGTCTAAATGTTAACAGGGTATAAATAATTTCTGTACTGCTTTAATATATTATCATCATCTCTGGATGCAGGATGAAGGAATGAAAGCAGAAATACTTCGATTGCGGAAGAAACTGACTGAGCAAGAGAAGAAGTTACACAGCACAGTGAAACGCTTGCACTCTACAAACCAGCTGAAGGAAAACATGGAGAAAGTCATCATTGACCAGTGTAAGTGTATGCCTTACAATGGCTCTTCCTTTTTGTAATTCATGGCTTCCACTGAATTAGAGAAACAACAAAATGAAGGCTGTTGGGCTGTGCTGAATGGCATTCATTCTATCAGTAGTTAATCTAGAATGTAAAAGGCTCTGCATCATGCAAAGTTATTGTTTATTGTAACACTGAGTTCCTCAAGTCATTTATTTTGCCCTTATTTAACTCATTGTGTTATTTTGCTCCATAGCCTATAATTTGTATGTCTAAATTTCATATATCTCCTGCATACAGATTATTGTTGCTTTTTTACCACTTATGAGCTGGTTTTTGATCATCTCCTCCAGAAGTGCTGTACCAGATAACGTACAAGTTACTTACACAAAATCTAAAATTAGATTTTGTTTAGGTTTTTAGTAACTCAGTTTGGGATTTGTCATATAAACAAATCAAAGCTATTATTGTGTCTGTGGCACTAAAATCCCTCAGGAGAGATTAACTGATTTGCTTTGGTCAGTTCCTAGTTCCAGTGACGTGTCAGACAGACAGTGGGTAATTTCAGTAGAGCTGTGCAGGGTTTAAAACAGCAGAGATTGAACCTTATGGACACAGCCTCTCCTTCCATCCACACTTTCAGAGAGAAAACAGAGCATCTCCCTCTTATTTCACTCACTCCATTTCACACCCAGAATTAGATCCTAATCAAATGGAACCTGTGTATTCTGAAGCCGTACTGCGCAGTCCTGCCTGCCTCCCAGCAGCTTCACCATTAGTGTCACATACTCTCAATTCTCTTCATGTACTGAATTTAATATTTTTGATTTAGAAAAATCTAGTTTGCCAGGTGAAGTGAGTTTACTAGCAGAGCTCTTTATGAGCAAGGAGCACAGAAAGACTTAGATACAAGATTCTTTAAGTTTCATTGATTATGGGAATTATGGATGTCAAGTCACCTGTGCCTTAAAGAGCAATTTCAGAAATGTTTCCAAATTGCATCTGTGTACAAACAACAAAACTGGTGAATCATAGGCTGGAGTTTATGCTGATGCTTATATTTGTTTTGTTTTGCTAGTAAGCAACCACAGGCATTCCAGTGGGTGACCTTGCTTGGCTTCATTCTCTAAGTACCCTGCTAGCTGGTCACTCCACTGAGGATTTTCAGGTTTCTGTTATTTAGTTTAGCATTCCTAAATACATTAGAGTCAGAGACTGGAACATTCTTATGGCTCAGAGTCTTCTGTCTGCTTTCTCTGGGCAAGAGAATGTAATGCTTATAAACCTCATCTGAACCTCTGAACATGTAACAATGCAGTGCCAAATTGCAGCAATCCGCCAAGGGTATAATTATCTCATGACAGCTATACCCTTGGAGTTGTTGGGTTCTTATTATTGTAATGAAAAATCTTTATTATGGCTAAATTGTTTATTTTTGAGACTGGAATATTAAATTGGCACTTGTGAATGGTATTTTTCAGCAGTTATGGAGCTGACACAGATTAGAGAATCACATATTTAACCTGACATTTCTAAATATCAGTTTTGTTTAGAAGCATCCCCTCCTCCATTCACAGGTCTTGCTCTCTCCCTGCAGAGGCAAACTAGCTGAATGAGCAGAGAAAGCTTGGGCCACTTCAGAGCGAGCCACTGATGTGATTTCCCCCAAGCATATCTAGGTTGCTTTGTCCTTGAACTGCAGGAGGAGCTGGCTGACTTCTTTGCCATCCCTTGTCTTCCCAGCCCATCATCCCACATAACCTCTCCACTGCACCATTTTCTTCCTTCTCCCCCTAACCTCTGTTAGGTCATGCACCATCTCTCTTAAAATGAACAGAAAGCGTTCCTTTGATGCCTTGGATTGAGCCCAAACAGGGCTTTGGACAGAGGAACAGTTCTGGGTTTTGCTAAGTAAGAAAGCTGGAGTGGTGGTGATGGGGCTGTGTATGGTTGCCTGGCTGCTGCCCAACTCATAGATGTCAGTTTGTACATCATTTATTATTTGATTGTAAGACTTTGAGTGCAGTGCAGTGTCCTGTAATCATTGCCTCTTTGTTTCCAGTGGTTTTAACTCATGATGTCCTGAAGAAGGCTAGAGGAAACCTGGAAGTAAGTGAAGTGTCTGCTGCCCTTAATTCCTTGACATGCTCAGTAGAAATAGGCACTGCTATGCCAGTAGCATTTTGCAGAATTAGTCCAATTTGTTTTGGGTTTGCAATTGGAACAACATTAAGATCAAGTCTGGGTGACAGCAGGTTGCCACAATAAATATTCTGCACTACTTGATGTTTGAATTAAAGTTTCATGACTGGCCCTGCAAACATCTAAACCCTCTCTCTTTTCTGATACTTTTCCCCAGATTAATATTCAGATGTCTTTTTTCTTCTCCGATGATTTATTTTCATCAGCTCACAGTCCAATAAGCTGTCTGCTGAAGAAGTTCACAAAAGGCATCTTTATTTAAAGCCTGAGTGTGGGTTAACAACCGGTGCTTCTGTTTTCCTAAAATGCAGACCTGATAGGTGAAGCTTCTGCAAACAGCTCTTTGCTAATGCAGAGCATTAAATTACTTTGAGCGTTTAAGTATCCACTGTTTGGATTTGATTTCTCCCAGAAGGCTCTGACTTCACTCCCAGAAGGCTGTAATATACTTCTCCACTCCTAAATCGCATCCTTCTCCTCACACCATTCCATTCTCAATGGCTGTATGGTTCCCAGCCTGCCCTTAAATTTCTCTCTCTTTTTGTGAATCTTTTCTCTATTATCCTCATCATCAGCACATTCTGAGCACCTCCTTATGCAGCTCCTACACAGGCTCAGTCCTACCTGAGTTGGAGATGGAAGACATGAAGTCTTTCTGCTTACAGAAATCTCATCTTTCGTGGGTAGATCAGCTGAACACAGGATTTGCTGATTCTTTTGTGGGATGAGAGCTCAGGGATAGGGACTGGATCTGTGCAGTACAGCAGAACAGTATTAATTATTGCTTTTCTAACCAGGTCCCAGCAGCTGACAATCAAAAACCAGCTTCCTATTCCAGCAAAAAAAGGATTCTCTGAAGGAGAAAGGTCCACTAATAAAGACAGACCGTTCCTCTGCATGGTGGTTGCTTCTTTATGCCTTACTATTTATTGATGTTAAAAGAGCTGAAAGAATATTTTTATGGAACCAGCTGTGGGGAGGGAGAAGAGCAAAAAAAAATTGGTTTTTTGTAAATAACTTATTTAACATTTTCTGTAATGTAAAAGATGTTGGTTTTTAATATTTATTACAAAAACATGGTACTGGAGTTACTGAAAAAACCCAGATTTTTTTTAAAGCTGGCTCATTTGAGATTTTATATTGTGTTATACAGCTGTTTGTTGTTGTAGTCATACAGGTCCTGAAAGAATCAAGAGCACAATCCATCTTCCAGCCCTTTTCTCTACTGCTGAAATGACAGAACAGAGGTGAAAGAAGAATGGTTTTGCCAGCTGTCGTTGCTTTATAGTAACATAAATAATGTTCAGTATTTAAAAGCATTTAAATCTCATCTGGAAGATTCTCCTGGAAGCCACCTCCTGTGCTTCCTCACTGCCCTGTTAGGAAGTTAGATTGATGCTAGGTCTGAAAGTACTATATAGGGTCAGACCATTCAATTAAATTTTAACATAATCACAGATCTGTTTGCGTTGTTTTGTTTGAGACGGCAGAACTTCGAGCTCTTGTTGAGCAAAGAAGGCAAGGCTGGGCATCTTCGGTACGGGGGGCACAGAGCTCTGAGTCTGTCATCATGGAGCAAATGGAATGCAGCCCTTGCAGCTGTGTTTGCTCACATCACTGCTAAGTTCTCCCTTTGAGAGCCTGCTTTCAAGCAGCCACAATCAAAAGGCATTTTGCTGTTGGCAGAAGCATTGCGCTCCCTTCTGTACCCCTCAAATCCATACTAAGAGAACAGGACCTCACAGAAAGACCACAGCTTGACAGTTTTGAAATCCATTTTTCTGCTACAAACACTCCAAAACGTCCTAATTTTAAAGCTAATCACTTATTATTACTTTTAAAAGTGTTCTCATAGCAATATTTTGGCCAGGCAGCACCACACGTACGTGGTTGTGTTCCCTTCATCCTCTGTTGCCTTTTCCACAGCTCGGTCCAAGCTGCCCACATAGACTCTATGCAGGCAGTGGCACAGCATGAGCTGGGACATCATTTAGTTTAACCCTCACATAAGCACTGAAAGTGCTTGTTGGTTACAAAAACGTGGCGCAGTCCTGGAACAAAATGAATTTGGAGTTGATGATGCTGTGCAAGATAACTTACCCTCATCATCCACAGAGGTTGGCACGAGGTCTGGGATACCTCAGCACAGGGTTGGATTCTGTTGGGTCCTTCACGCTGCGCTCTGGAGAACAGGCAGGAGCAAGAGGCTTTCACTGGAAAATGAGTTTGTGCTCACTGAATGCTGGCTGTGCTCCCCACAAGGGTTGTGTGTGCTGGTGGGGTTTTATTAAAGGTAGAACAACAGCCACACGCTTTTGAGCTGCCTGATTTTCACAAAATCACAGCACTGGGTTTTCTCTGAAGCACAACAGTGAGATCCCAAGCTGGGCTGCTCCTTACCTGGGCTGCCCAAAGCTCTGTTCCTGCTCCTGGCTGCACAGTGCTCAACCTCTCCTTCTGAGATGCTCCGAAGCAAAACGTTGGACTGCAGCTGACAGCAGGGGGAGGCAAACTCATTTGTCTGGATTAAAGGAAAGATACAGGAAAAAAAGTGAAAAAGTTTATTTTTAACTTTGCAAATTGAAAAGTGAGGGGGGGAGGTAAGGAAAGAGCATGCAGTCAAACTTGCTCTTCAGTCTCTTCACACCTTATTGTCCTCACAGCTCACTAAGAACGTCAAGTTAATTTTACTAAGTAGCTAAATTATAGACACTCAGATGTAATCAGAATCTGCTATACATTTCAACTTTCAAAATTAATCATCCTACGTTTTTGAGTTATAACACCTGAAGGAAACAGCTGTACATCTATATATAGTGCAACCCCTCTCTTGGTCTTTGTGCAGCTTTTTTTCTTTTTCTTTTTTTTTCCCCTACACCATCTGTGATTAAATAATAAAAATTAAACATTTCCTTTTTTTCCTGAGCTGATTTGTCACTGACTCCTGCTGGTCCCTGCTGTGCCCAGCTCTGCTCCTGAGCCCCTTTGCCTTCCATCAGTCTGAATGGAGCTCTGGCAGGGCAGGGCAGGTGAGGCAGACAGGTTCCCTACTGGGAAGAAAAAAATGCTGGTGGATCATCAGCTCTTTAAAACGAGACAGTTCTATGAGATCAAAGCATTGCATCTCGACGAGGAGCGCCTCTCAAACGCGCTATTTACTGGGCCAGTTTAAAAACAATTAAGCTAAAAAAGCGTAGCAGATGGAGGGCTGCAGCAGACAAAGCTTATGGAGTGTTAAACTTTGTCCCCATTACACAGAATTAAGTTTTCCTGTAAAAATAATTACGGGGGAGAAAAATCAGCGGCGTAAGCAAATAGAATTAAAGGAGGGGCTCATTTACTTAGGGAGTTCCTGTCCGTGCTTCCATTTCATGTGCAAGGTGATTGGAAACAGCCGAGAAAAGCAAGAGAATGCTTTTTCTTTCTCCTTAAGCCCCTACAAGCAATGAGTGAAGGCGCTGCTGGTGTCACACAACATTCCTGCCACCAGCCCCCTGTCCTGCAGGCTGTGCCTGTAGCTGACATTACAGTCGCCAAAGCGAACAAACAGAAGCAATACCCCAAATCACGGCAGCTGGCTGTATTAAAAATAAATCAATGCTAATGCAGTCAAGCGTTTAAAAACAAAAGCACAGTAGAACAGTGGTATTTTAAACCGAAGCTGCGTTTTGGGGGGGGGG